GGTGTCAGGGGATACAAAATGTCCGGACACAAAAAAAAAAAAACGAAGAGCGGAGGGGGCTGTTGGCAGGCACTTACCTGCTCTGCACTTTGTAGTTCAGGAGGCAGACCTGTTTTGCAGCAAATCAACAACCACATTCGACTTGCAGACATGCAGTGTTGCAAACAGTGCAAGCAGGCACAAAAAACAGAGAAAAAAATATATTGAAAAAAGTATGATTAACTTCGAAAGTGAACTTTGAGTCAAGTAATTTCAGTCCATAACTTCATATAACTTAAAAGTTCGAACTTTGCAGTTCAATTCACGACGTCAGAGTCTTCGTACTGGCAGCACAGTCGGTGCTCTCTCTCTCTCTCTCTCTCTCTCTCTCTCTCTCTCTCTCTCTCTCTCTCTCTCTCTCTCTCATCGAAACGGCCACTTTGAAATTGCTTGGGCCAGTGTGAAACCCGCCACCCCAAAAACCTGCAGTGTCTCTCTCTCTCTCTCTCTCTCTCTCTCTCTCTCTCTCTCTCTCTCTCTCTCTCTCTCTCTCTCTCTCTCTCTCAGTGGCACGCATAATTTATTTTTTATTACTATTATTATTATTATTATTATTATTATTATTATTTTTAATCGTGCACCTGGCGCACCGCCCACAGTGCGCGCTGTCATTCCAGCGCACAGTGCACTGCGCACCGGCCCGTACCGCACTGCCCACTGGTGCGCCGCAACTATGATGCGTAAGCAACTGGGAAAAAAAAAAAAATAGAAGTACGTGTATGGAACAGTAAGGCGCACATTTGACACGAGTACATGGCAGAAACTTGCCAGAAAGACAACATAGCATGTTTCTATATGCTCCATAAATGTAACTACTATCTTGCGTGTGTTGTGTTCGGGGGAAAACGGTAGCATGGTGGAAAGACAATATAGCATAGCGTGTTTCTACACTCTTCACGCTGGTGAATAGCGCAGGAGATGAGAACACTATAGTATGGATATGGAATAGTAAGGTGTGGCTAGATTCACACACAGTACATGGTGGAAAGACAGCATAGCATGTTGCTATATTCTTCACAATGGTACCTACCGGCGGAAAGTTTTCTATATCTCTGCCCACAATGTCATGGTCTCCCATCTTGATTCCAGTTTCCAACTCTTGATTTCCCCCAACCGCCACCTAGTACCCTCTTCACCCGAATAGAATGCCTGTACATTATCGCTGCAACTGGACTGAGTTGCCCCAAACACAGCTAGAATGACCAGATGTTATATTCCGGTGAAGACGGTAGTTTGTGATCACCTAATCATCTGCAGCATGATAGGAGCGTATAGAAACATGTAAATTGAATGGTGTCCTTCCACCATGTACTCGCGATATCCAACTGCTGGTTCGCCATCACATAACCATAATCATCGGTAATGAAACAGGGAGCATTCTCTCAAGCAGACAAAGGGCCTCGCCGCACGGCACACAAAATGAAAAAAAAAAACAAAAAAAAAACGAGTGCATCTTCCCACGAAATATGGCAAAATATATTCGTAACTATTTATAGCAAACGGATGGGCCTGTCCATTTTCTGTGGGAAGACGTACTCGTTCGGTTTTCGTTTCGTGTGCCTTGCCGCCACGCCTAAACAAAGGAAGATCGCCATCTTCCAGATAAGAAATCTCCTTGTCACATATGGTCACATGAGCATGATGGCCTTCTACGGCCAGCACAAGAGAACAGAAAACGAGGCATAAGATTGTGACAATCTCAAGTAGGACACAGCCATCGCTAGCAGGAAGGTAAGGTTAGCGCCTTCGTTAGACCATCTTTGCTGCATAGAAAATTCTTGTGTTGTCTGGAGCATGTTCATCATTGTCACACATCAACTGTCACCTTCGTCTTGATTTCACCGGTTTGTATTATTAGTCTTTATTACTATTATAATCCATAACATAATTATTACAATAACAAGTCAGCGCTGCCGCAGCCCAGTGCCAATCCTGCCCTCCGCACAGCAACGGCATCATTTGGGGTCAGCGGTGTTACACGGCGTGCATGATGTCACAACGGTTTGATGGTACCGTTGGACCCTTGCGGGGCATGCCATACTGCGCCCCCACATGCACGCTCTCSCCCCCCCCCCCCCCCCCGAGAAAAAAAAGACCACAGACACTGCCCGCTCGGGCACGCTTAGTGCCAACCAACAGAGATAGTTGGCCCGTCACGGCCAATGATCGGTCTTCGCATCAGCCGCACACCCCACCCCACCCCCACAACCAGCGGGCACCACCTTACCACCTGACCACTGATGATTAGGGCATGGGGAACATGCATCCTAATGATTGTGAGAGGCAGCTATGCTTGCAGGGTTCCGCTTTGTAGGCTTAGGGGCGGTGGTAGGTAGGTAGTGAGAGGTGAAATCGGGAGAAGACTATAGCTTAGATTTTAAAAAGAAAGGGCAAAATTCAAAAAAATGAAAAACACATGGCCAAAAGCACTCACAACTTGCAGGAGTATTCACCCTGCGGGGATACCAACACTAGCACTTCCCCATATGAATCTGCCCGCAACAACAGCCAGAGGTGGATGAACTGACCACAACAGTGTCCTGAGCTTAGAAGAAAATCCTAGTGTGAGTATGCTGTGAGCGCAACCCAGGACCAAAAAAAACACAAAAAACGCTAAACAGCCAACTGCCCAAGAAAAGAGTTCAAAAAACACTCGCTTTACTACTCACGACATGAGAAAAGACAAAACTCACCACATGCAGAAAAGAGGCCGAGCATCTTCCCATGTTCTACCGACAGATTCATTTTCATTTTGCACATTCGGCGAGTAGTCGAAACGGGTGATGGGCCCTCTTTCCACACGCACAAAAGACAAAAAATATGGCGTTGTATCTTGCCATGTTGTAGCAGAAGATTCATTCTCGTTTTGCACATTCGGTGAGTAGTGGAGCGAGGCCCATGGCCTGCTACTATGGGCCTCGCTCCAATACTCACCGAAGTGCCAAATGAGAATGAACCTTCCGCTAGAACATGGGAAGATACAGTGCCATGTTTTACGTCTTTTCTGCATGTCGTGAGTACTTACAACAAACACGTGATGGCTTTTTCTGAATATGGTGAGTGGTGGAGCAATGCCCTATGTGCTCATTTTGAAACAGGCACCAGAACACCGAAGGGCACAAACTAACGCCCGAAACAGAGAAGGCACCCCCCCCAAAAAAGGAAACCCGCGGCCAAGTTGCAAAGAGTGTCACGAAACCGTCTGCTGGAAAAAAAAAAAAAAAAAAAAAAAGAATCGACCCATCCACCAGCTGTGCACAGAGCCCCCACAAAACGAAAAAACAAAAGGAGAAAAAATAGGCAAGAAAAGACAAAGTGGCACCCATGTCATTGTTTGAGTTTCAAAACGTGAAAGTTTAGCGGGGGGTTGAAACTGCAGCCATTTTGAACTGGCATGAATGCAGATTTAGCAGCGTATTTTTTTGCCCTGTTTCGAGAGCTGATAAAGTTTCCTATTAGAAACGCTAGGTGTGACCTGGGAGATGTTGCCCCAAAATGAAAAGGGAAACGACACATCTGCCAGCTGAAACGAAACAATGCCCTGCCGCCGCAATGCACTTGTATTCGAACATGAGGCTCTCCATTGCCTCACAGTCCTGGTCCTCCCCAGTCACAGCGCGGCCCACTGGGTTCCACCCTCAAGCGGTTCCCCTTGGGCCCGCAAAGCATCATGCGAGGACCGGGTTAATCTTTAGCAGGTATATAGAATAGAATATAGAATATAGAATATAGATATAGATATATACAATAATAAAGGGAACAAAAAAACAGGGCATATGCAAGTTGATGGAGGGAAAAGTGGACATATAAGTTGGAAAGGGAGAGAGGTTCCTTAAGAGAGAGGGAAAGAGAGAGGACAGGAAGTGAGAGGGGTTTTCCTCAGGGAGAGGGAAAGGGAGAGCGGCTCCGTAAAGCAGAGGGAAAGGGAGAGGGGCTCCTTAACCCACCACTACCTTTCACAAGCAAACTCAAATCACGAAAGTAGCCTGCACCGCATTCTTCGGAGGCCGGGCGCAACCGGACCAAAATGGCTGGTGGCACCAGCCAAAACGAGAAAAAAAGAAGTCGGCTGGCGCTTCGGCAAAGCTTGGCGCGCAGTTCTTTTCCGCCTCAGCAAAAAGAGGCTCGCAGGTAGTGGTGGTTTAAGCAGGAGGGAGAGGCACAGGAGCTCCATAAGGGGGAGGAAATGGAGAGGAGCTCTCCATAAGGGGGAGGAAATGGAGAGGGGCTCTTAAAGGGGAGTAAAAGGGAGAGGGGGATATTTTCCTTACATGTGGCCAGAACCTTGTCAGACACCCAATCTGAGGCAAAGATCCAGTCTTCATGTTTCTTCCCGGAAACGGTGGGGGCAAAACACAAGACAAGTCAGATTCACAAATGAGTGTCCGATAATTTCACAAATTCGCATTATAATTACAATATTTAAAACTCGAAAGTGTATTTACAGTGCGCCAGCCTCTCGCCCGACATCTCTGATAATTTCAGGAGCTTTCACTTTCCAGATTCCACAATTCTCTTTGTCCACGCCCTACCACACCTAAAGCGCCTTTGCCATCATCAGTGAAGGCCGTGATGAAGACGCGTAGATACTTGTACTCTTTAACTCTTGATACATTGCATCGACAACAGGACCCCACATCGATCTTCTCCTAGAGGAGGAACATCTTATTATATACAAAAGATCGAGGAGGGGATTTCAGTTGCAAAGCAACAACCTCTTCTTAGTTATAACTCCAACTGAGTCATAGCACAACAATCGACCTCTCAAAGCCAAACCCCCATCCCCCCCCCCCCAAACCCAGCACACACACACACAGACCATACAGGTGGGGAGATGGGTGGCTGGCTAATAACTCACCCTGTCTGCAAAAGGGGCATAATCGCACTGGATCTTTTTGGATGTCAATTACAAACCGACCTGGATGTATCTGACGTCAGTTGTGCCCATAGATCACCCGAAAACGTCCTAGTGTGTGCCGGCCCTCTCTGTATCGACGAAGTATGAGCCTCAAGACTTCCCCAACTGTGCAATAGAAATTAATATAAAAAACTAAGTGCATCCTACGTAGCAGAGATTGATAATAAGCACAATCACCATGATGCTGCTAAGTCTCCAACCCGCGCCTCGCCGCACGCTACTTGGATCGATAGAATGAGCAAATAAAAAAGTGGCAGTGTATATTTCCATGTTTCAGCCGAAGATTCATTCCGTTTTTGCTCATCCTATCGATGGAATGTGTGTGTGTGTGTGTGTGTGTGTGTGTGCGTGTGCGTGTGTGTG